CCCGTAAAGAAAGCAAAGCCTGCGGAGCCGGGTTTGCCAAAACTCGAACGCTTTTGTTAAAATTGTATGAAGCAAATTCACAAACATATGATTTATATTATCTCGGCACCGCACAGAATATACTATTTAAATTAACTCCTCTCCCAACAAATGAAATCAATTCTCTTCTCGGGTTACTTTTCATCTGCCTTTTGTCTTGTTGCCGAATCTTTTCTATTTCTTTCACTCATTCATCTATTGTGCCCTTTCCTTGATCTGATAGCATTAAACATATAATTAAGTCATAAAGGAGGGAACTGATGAGTATAGCAGATGGTAATTGCTTCCTACATTTGAATGAAATGATATGCATTGCTACAATTTACAGCTCTCGCCTCATATTTTATTCAGGAACCTTTTATCTCTTTTCCTGCAGAATTATTCTGCAATAAATTTAGACATCTTATCAATAGCTTGGGTGATAGTAGCAGAAATGGAGCAAAACTGAACTTTGTGCATCATAGTGTTTAAAATAATTTTTAACAATAATTGAATTATCTACCAGCAAATATCGCGTATAGACCCTGGCTGACTTGGCTTTTTGTTTTTTCAAGGAAGCGCAGAGTGATCGAGGAGCAGAGCGGGCGGCAGGTGACAGCTCGGACAGGAGGTGCTGAGCGCCCGCCAGGGCTGCTTTCCTTTCCTCTCCCTTTCCCTTCCTTTCCTCTGCCTTTCCCTTTCCCTTTCCCTTTCCCTTTCCCTTTCCCTTTCCCTTTCCCTCAGCTTCCCCGGGACGGGCTGCCAGCGGGAAGGGAGGCTGGGAGCGATGGGGCCAGCCGCTCGCGCCGTGCTGCATATTGCTCCGTGCGGTGGGCCCAGCCGCTCGCGCCGTGCTGCATATTGCTCCGTGCGGAAAAGTTTTGCAAGGGGAAGTTGGGACACGTTTCCCTGCAATCAAAGGGGCGGTTACAGCGGTAACCCCGCGCGTCCGTCCATAGCCCCGTGCGGGGACATTGCAGGAGCTCCACGTCGCCTCCCTCCGCTCTGCGGGGCGCGAAGGACTCGGTGTCCCCCTGTTCCCTGGGGATCCCCAGGTCCCGTGGGGCCTCCTGTCCTCGTGCCTGTCAGAGCCGCTGCTCCCTCGCGGACGGCTACGAGGCGGGAGCCAGGGCTCTCCAGCGGCTCCCTGCGCGCCATGCCCAGGCGCCGCCAGCCCTCGTGTGTGCTGGCGCCGTCGGCAGGGCAGCGGCACCAGCCCGGCCATGCCTGGCACGGGGACGAGCCGCCACTGGGCTCCGGAGCTGCTGCCCGCCCGTAATAGACTGGGGAAAAAAGATAATGTGTTTGATCGATCAGCATGGACAAATTTCATTTAGGGGATCAATAACAGTTTACACTTGACAGAGCGGAGGAAGCGTGCTTATTTTTCCCTTTGATTGAATAAATGTTTTCCACGGGACGCAAAGGCGGAGCGGTCCCGACCCCATCCTAACGGGAGGCGCTCCGGCGAGCTCCGGAGGCGCGCGCGCCAGCAGGGCACGGAGCGGCGCGGGGCCTGGCGCGGGGCCTGGAGAGCGAGTCCTGCCGCTTGCTAGTGCGGATCTCCCCCTCCTTCTTGTGGTTTTGTTTTATGAACTCCCTCCTAAAGAGGCTTAAAATCAGACTTGGCTGGTGGCACACGGTAATTAGGTTCCAGATGACGCAGATGATAACTTTCCCTTGCAATATGGAGCAAATGCCAATAATAAATGCAGCAAGTGCCTCGCTCCAGATGCATCAGGCTGCTTCGTTAGCTGACGTGCTCACCAAAGCGAGCGCGCCGGAGCAGCGAGACGCTGCTCCTGAACGGGACCCATGGCCCCGCGACTGTTTTGGGCACGCAGTTTGGATTGTTTAAAATGTGTATTGCAAATGCCAGGAAAATGCCTGCGGGCGCCTCCAGCGTCGGGTGATTTAGTCCTCAAGACTTGCAGCCGTGGGGTCGGATCAATGCCGCTTGCAGGTCATGGCGCGAGGTTGGAGGCAGCGCTTGACCTTTGCACAGCCCTGCAGGGCAGCGCTGCTCCAAAGACATAAATAATCATCTCTCGTTTGTTTTCACAAGGGGTATTTATTTAAAAATGCAAATCTATTATAACATATGTGACTTAAGGATATTCAGATGGGGAAGCAGAATGCATTTCCCTTCTTTTTCCCTAGTGAAATTCCAAGTGAAATGCTTAACGGAGAAACAGAAAAGATGGAATAAATAAGAGTAGTGATGGCAATCACTGCCCTTATTCCCTTTGCTGTTGTCTAGTACCTTTAGTCAATGACGTGTCCATGCAAAGGGTCTCTCACACCTGAATTAAGCTTGTGATATTAGCAGAGAGCATACAGAAATTGCTGCTCAGCTTCATTTCCTTTTAGACATCAGGTATAGCATAAAGATAATGCAGGTATGACCTTATTTTATACATACCATACCACAGTGCACATAAAACCAGCTAGCTCTCAAGAGTCTTCTTCCTCTGGTCTTCAATAAATTCCAAAACCAGACCTTTCAAAATCCTGCCTATTGCACTCTGTGATGACCCGACTTAAATGCAGAAGCCAGTGGTTGACTTTATTTTTATCCTTGCAGGGAGGATAGTTGTTTATAAAACTCAACAAGCATAAAACAATATGCTTCAGGATTATAAATAGCATTTGAAAAGGTTTTGCGATTGCACACCGTTGCCTGAAATACTATAGGGCACAATTCTTCATCTTTATTCAGGTAAACAAGGACTTTTGATCATGTAGGGGCAGTCAGAGATTGAGCATGTGGCCAATAATAATTCAATAAACCAGCAGTGATAGGACCTGACTTTCTTTCAACACATAATCAGTAAGCATCTAATTGTTAAGAGTCATATAATTAAGACAGTGCCGCACAGGGGCTGTGCATAGCGCAGTGCTGCAATTCCCTGTGTTTGCAGTGGCGGGAGCTTCCATCAGAAGCTCATCACGCTGCAGCTCCTCCAACAGCTACGACGGTCATGCATGGCTTGTGGGAGGCCGAGCACTCATTTAGAGCAATATTAGAGTCCTTAGTATGGCAAGCAGCAAACCAGAAAGCGTAGGTATTTATAAAGATATTTAGACTCTGTAAAATGGATCGTGAAGTTACAAGAAGTGAAAGCACATGCAGACACGAGGCGATGTGATGATGTGGCGCGGCAGAGTGAATGGGGATCCCGCTGAAAGCACTGGGGGAAGCTGGGCCTCCGACTGGGCTGGGCCGTTGCATCTTGGTGGCCACGTTTTGCTGCTGGGCCCAGCACAGGGCCGGTGTCTGC